AAAGTCACTTACACACTCTGGCCTGTATGCCAAGATGGAGGGGTATTTCTAGAAAGGAAAAGGAAGTTAAAGGAAATGGAAGTTAGAACAATAGAATCTATAATAATAAAAGGATAATATGCTAATTAGACCAGACATCCTCCTGGACATCATTCCAGTCATTCTAGAGAGTGTGAAGTCATATATCATTTTTTTATATATATTTCCCAAATGGTTAATGGTGCTGAATACTTTTTCATGCCCTTACTAGTCATTCATAAATATTCTATGTTGAAATTTTTCATTGAATCCATGGGTTATCTTATTATTATTAAACTAGTGACCTGTTGCAGGAATATTCCTACAAGACTTCCTGCCCGCCACCTCCCCCACCCCTCCACCTTTCCCACTGTGGCAGGCAGGGTGGGGCGAGACAGGTGGGGCACGCCCTGCTCGTCCCACCTGCCCCATCACACCTGCGGCCACCACCACCACTGTCTCCACCGCGGCCACCACCACTGCGCACCTTGCCCCACATGCCCCTTGCCCCACACGCCCGACCCACCGTGCCTGCTGCCGCCGCCTCTGGGGCCACATGTGGCACTGCTGCACACCTGGCTCCAACCCGCCTACCCAACCTGCCACACCTGCCACCCCCGCTGCCTCCTGACACCACAGGCTCTGTGGCCACGTGCCACAGCTGCACGCCTCACCCCACCCCACACACACACTGCCAGTGCTTTTCCTCCAGCAGTCGCAGCCACCTTGCTTTCCACTTTCCCTACCTCTTCCTTGTATGCTATCTTCAGTCTTCACTCCTCCCTCCCTCTGTGTATCTTTGATGGGTTAATTTGCATAGTCTATTTGATTGGCTGGTGGAAGTGGTTTGTGGGTGTAGTTGAGTGATGGTTAATTTGTATATTACTCTATTACTAGGTAGGATCATAAAAGTTCTATTTATATTCTGATTACAAATTTCTTATCAAACATAATATTTATAAATATTGTCTTTAATTCACTAGGTTATCTTCACTTTTCAAAATATTTTTGAAAAGCATAAGTTTTTAATTTTTAGAGATGAATTTGTGTTTTTTAAAATCATATATAAGCCATCTTTGCTGAATACAAAGTCAGGAAGATTTTCTCCTGTTTTCTCCTAAAAGATTTATAACTTACAAACAGTCCTATCCTCCTACCTCAGCAAATGTACCCTCACAACTACCTAAAAGGCCAGATTCAAAGGTAAAAGTTCTCAGATTCTAAGTTGTACATCTAAATGTAGTGATGTGGAGACTATACTTATCCCCCTTCTTTTCTTACTCTGTGGTCACACCTCACTGTGAGGAGCCTCACAATGCTCACTTCTCCTAAGTTGCAAATAGCTGCCTCCTGCTTCTTCTTCAGTCATAGGTTCCCACACCAACTGTCTGTTTCCCTGGGAAGACCAAGCCAGGAAAGGAGCTTGTGAAGCTCTGTAAATGGGCCTGTGGCCATTTATGTAGGGAATTTCAGTTTCCTGGGTAACTAATGTGGGCTAAAGTGTTCTGTGGGGAAACATCTCCTTGATTCCACTGTCTCCTCCTCAAAGTGAGGCCTTCTAAAGTAAAGGGACCAAAGTTGGGCTCATTGCATGAATCTGAGTGTGGCACTAAGGCTACCAAATCTTGTGGGGGAGAAAATTAGAGAACTAATGGTCACTGGCCCCAGGAACATGCACACAGGAGGACTTGCTCTTCCATCCAACCTTAGAAACAGAAAAGGGCATCCATAAAAGTAAAGTGGGAAAACAACCTCAGAAGGATTGATTCAGTCTTGGGTCTTGCAAACCTGTGATATTATTTCCTCCATTTTCCTGGCTTTTATTTCCCAATCAGATTTCAACCTTTATGCCAACAATTTTATCCATATACCTGTGCTTTAACATGGCTGCCTATGGGTTTCCAAGGCCAATTCAGGGGTAAAGACCTCCTGGCTCTAGGCTCTCTTCACTGGTTACATCCAAAGGCAATGCCTCTAAGTGTTTCATGAACACCAAGACCACTGTGTATTAGCTGTTCTCCTCGTTGTGTGGATGCCTGAAGTTCCTCCAAGAATAGAGAGCTCCAATACATTAATCTTCACAGTGAGCTATCTGTGTAGTTTAAGTGGGGCTGGCACCTCTGTTCTATCATTCATGAGCAAGTGCTGATAAAGAGGTAGAGCAATGCAGGGAGACATTCAGCACTCCACTGCCCCATTAATGAGTGTGTGTTTGTGTTGCAATTCCCTTGATACAGGTGAGGCAAATCTGAACTTCATTTACTACTCAGCACAAAAGGCTTCCCCATGACTTAGGGGCAACTCAACAGCAATCTGTCATTTGTCACACACCTTCTTATGTTGTCTTTCTCAGCTTGGCTGAAACTCTGAGCCATCCTCAAGCAACCATTTCAAAGATTGCCATAGACACTAGAACACTGTTGTAGTAGAATCTTAGAGAAGACAGATGCCTCCTAGAGGGGAATGGTAACCCAGTGGTTATTTTATTTTTGGGGGGAGAGAGTTTATAGGGAATGCTGACACCAAGCAGCAGGGTATAAACTGGCATACACTGAAAAAAATTTGAAGAGGGGGAGAAATTGGAGTTGACCCACATATAGTGAAGTGAAAGGCACTTTCAATGAAGAAGCAATAGATAGCTACTAGGGCCTCAATTTGATCCCTATTAGATGCATCTACTATTATATTGCATATACAAAGACAGAGAAATAGTATTGAACATAAAATTATAAAAATGAAGAGGAAAGGAATGGGTTGGACCACAGCATCCAAGAAAACAGCTGCCGAAGTCCCATTCACAGCACTGACTTGTATTCTTTTTTTTTTTTTTTTTAGTCTCAAGCCAGATTTATTTTTAATTCAAATGAAAAATACATTTGACCACATAAGTAAACAAAAATAAAGAAGTAAAGACATGATTTAAAAAATGTAATAATAATATGTAACAAAATGAAATAAAAACCAATCATTTAAAATAGTATAATGACAAGTTTGTATTGAATATTCTCTAGTATAATAAATTTAAATGAGAATACTTTTTCTTTTTCTTTTCTTTTTTTTTGAATGTTGGTTAGCACTCTGGGCTCTGACTTGTATTCTTTATGGATTCCCAAATTTCTAGTACTATTGCTCTATAGAACAATCATGATCAAGCTCTGAAATTCCTAATTATTTCTCTCTTTAGAGTTCTATTCACCACCCATCTTCCTTTCATTCTTTGTGTCAAAAATACAATAGCCCATGATGTGGAAAGTTCATTTTGGTAAATATTGAGTTTTTAATTACTTATTCACTTAATAAACACTAAGCCCTATGCTGGATATTGGGGTTATCAAGATAAATGGAAAAAGTATGGTTCCTAATATTTTAAGATTTACATTATATCAGGTAGAAGGATAGACAAAAGTAAGCACATAAGCATAATAGAAATATCATCAAATAATGAAAATGACTATGATAATAAAGTAGAAAAATGGCAAGCAATTGAAGTGAGGGTGGCCAGAGAAAGCATCTTTTGAGAGAAATTCTTTGAGCTGAGAATTGAATGATGAGGAGAAAGTCATGCAAAGAACTGGCATGGCTATGGCTGGGATTTGATCTATGAACCAGGAAGTCATGGTTGGATTCCCAGTCAGGGCACATGCCCGGATTGTAGGCTCTATCCTCAATAGGGGGCATTCAGGGCAGCTAATTAATGATTCTCTCTTATCACTGATGTTTCTCCCTTCCTTTATAAAATCAATAAAAATATATTTTTAAAAAAGAATGTTCTCTTACCCTTTGCAACATCATGGATGGACCTGGAAATTATTGTGCCAAGAGAAATAAGCCAGTCAATGAAAGACAAGTATCACATGATCCCATTTATATGTGGAATCTAATGAACAAAATAAATTGATGAACAAAATAAGTCCAGAGGCATGGATGTATGGAGCAGATTGACAGATCTCAGATGGGAGACAGGAAGAGATTAACCAAAGAACTTGTATGCATATATGTATAGCCAATGAACAGAGACAATAGTTAGGTGGAGGTCTTGGGTGGAATGGGAGCTGGGTGGAGTGGGGCAAAGAAGTGGAGGGAATGAAGGACATCTATAATACTTCCAACAATAAAAAAATAAAATTTATAAGAGAAAAGGGTTCTAGAGATGGGTTACACAAAAAGGTACATGTTCCTTTAACACTACTGAACAGTACATTTAAAAATGGCTGAGTTGGTAAGTTTTATCTTATGTCTGTTTTAGCAAAATTAAAAAAAAATTTAAAGAAAAATAAAAAAGTAAAAATAAATGTTAATGTTGAGACAGAGAGAGAGAGAGAGAGAGAGAGAGAGAGAGAGAGAGAGAGGAGCCAAGCCCTTTTTTTCTATTTGCCCATGGGTTAAAATATTAATAATGAGAATTTGTCTTCTGTGCTCAGTCCTCACCCAGTCTCTATCTCCAATGTCTGGCTAACTGTGTACCTGCCACTGCGGCTTCTAACTGTTCTTTTATTTTTTAAAATATATTTTATTGATTTTTAAAAGAGAGGAAGAGAGAGGGATAGAAAGCTACAAACATCAATGAGAGAGAAACATTGACCAGCTGCCTCCTGCACACCCCCTACCGGGGATGTGCCCACAACCAATGTACATGCCCTTGACTTGAATAGAACCTGAGACCTTTCAGTCCGCAGACTGACGCTCTATCCACTGAGCCAATCTGGTTTTGGCTCCTAACTGTTCTTAACTCACTTTCACTTTTCTCTCAGGCCAATCTCTTGCCTTTTTCCTTTAGATCAGAGGAATTATACACACACACACACACACACACACACACACACACACACACCCCTCCTATATTATATGGGATTTTCAGAACTCGTTCATTTTATTTTATTCACCACCAACTTTGTTTCATGATGATGTTGTATCTTATAGGTGCATCATTTTGTAGGAGCTCCTTGGCTTGATCTCAGTGCGTTCAGCTCAGGAGGCTATATTCACTTTGTTAATGGCCGAAACTTCTTGGCCCTTTTCACTCTCTTCACCTTCTTTGGAATTTTTATACTAGTGCAAGAGGATTTTTTTCTTGAACTCCCATGAAGCAGTCTTTTTATTTCCCTTTGTATCTTCTTCACCTAGAAGGGCAACAGATGACCCCAGAAATTTACTGGATGGGAGGAAGAATATGGAACAGGATGGAAAGGAGGGTTTCATGGGAAAAGGACAGGCAAATAAAGGATTTTATGCCAAACAAGGAACAGGCAGGAGTCTTGGGGAGAGGGAAATAAATAAGAAAGAAAAGGAGGAGCTTGGATGAGGTAGTCTCACCTTGCCACCATCTCTGGACCTGGGTTGATAGGGATTCTTCCTCTTCTTTCTCTGTTTTGTGGTTGAAGTTGTTTGTTTTGTGCTTGCGGTTGCTTGTTTCATAACTTTTCTACGTTCCTCTGGTTTCCTGGCAACCTTAGCCATGTTGAATCATTCCTGTGGCCCAGAGCTCCAAGCCAAACTGAAAAATATCCCTTGCCAGGACAATGAAGAGCCACACCCTTCAGTTTTGTTTGTTCAGCAAGGCAGTAAGTGATTAGAGGGAGGGGCTTAATATGACATCACAAATCACCAGTCTTGGCTCCTCCCTGATGGTGGGGTTGCTAGGGAAACCAAGATATGCTGATTGGGGTTGGAGAGAGTTGGCATTTCCTGAACATTCCCCTAAAGAACTTTCCAAGGTGGCCTGCTACCCCTTCTCATCATGTGCATACATGGCAGGAAAAATGTTTCCTTCAAGGCCTTCTCTTTAGCCACTCCAGCTCTTTGTTTTATTTTGTTCTTTCCCATCCTTCACCATTACCTAGTATTTTGGATATTTTATCTAAAATCCTTCAAAGATAACATAACTATATTTAAGTATCTATGGAGATGCAAATCCTCCCATTTCCCTTCAATAATTTTCTCTTATGAAACTTGAAGATAGAGTCCCCTTTTGGCTATTACCAGGAAACTTCCCCCTCATATCATCTTCTCAGCTTCTATGTTGATCACCTCAGTTTTCTGTTCTCTTGTCTGAAATTTCTGCTTTTATCAGTAATCAAAATAGTATGGTACTGGCATAAGATTAGACAAGTAGAGCAATGAAATAGGATTGAATGTTTGGAAATACATATCTAAGAATGCTAAGAATGCCAAGAACATTCGATGGGAGATAATAATTATTTTCAACAAATGGTATTGTGAAAACAGGATATCCATACGTAAAAGAATAAATTTGGACCCTTATTTCTCATTATACAGTACTCAGATGAACTCAAAAAAGATCAAAAACCTAAATATAAGAGTTAAAATTATAATAAGAAGAAAGCATAGGCAAAAATCTTCATGGTTCTTGAATAGGTGATAGTTTCTTCGGTATAGCAGAAAGGATATAAGCACAAAAGAAAAAATTGACAAGTTGACATCAAAATTAAAACTTGTGATTTAACAAACCCTATCAAGAAAGTGAAGAGACAAAACTGAATGTACAGAAGTGAAGGAACAGAATAGGAGGCAAATTTTGTACATCATATGCCTGTAAGGGAAATTTATCTAGGATATATAAAGAACCACAATTAAAAAAATATATTTTTTATTGATTTCAGAGAGGAAGAGTAAAATATAAAATCAATAATGAGAGAGAATCATTGATTGGCTTCCTCCTACTACCCCCACTGGGGATTGAGCCTGCAACACTGGCATGTGCCCTGACCAGGAATCTAACCATGACTTCTTCATTCATAGGTCAGTGCTCAACAACTGAGCCACCATGGCCGAACAAGAACAGCACAATTTAAAAGTGGCCAAAATACCTGAAAGACACTTCTCTAAAGATATATAAATGGTCAATTAACACACAAAAAAGATACTCAACATTATTAGCCATTAGGAAAATGAAAATCAAAACCAAAATGATATATAATTTCACACCCACTAGTATAGCAATAATTTAAAAGTTAGATAATAACATGTATTGGTGAAGTTGTGAAAAAATTGGAACCCTCATACCCTGCTTGTGTGAATGTAAAATGGTGTAGCAGTTTGAAAAACAGTCTGACAGTTCCCCCTAAAAGCTAAGCATAGATTTATAATATGACCGTGGAATTCAACTCCTAAGTATATCTACCCATGAGAAATTAAAACTATATCCACACAAAAACATGTAGATGAATGTTCAGAGTAGCATTTTTCATAAATGCCAAAGATTGGAAACAACTCAAATGCCCATTAACTGGTAAATGGATAAATAAAATGTGGTATATCCATAGAATGGAATTTTATTTGGCCATAAAAGTGGAATTCTAATACCTGCTGCAACATGTGCTAAGTGAAAAAAGCCAATCACAAAGGACTACATGTTATATGTTTCTACTTATATGAAATATCTACATTAGGAAATCTGTAATCACAGAACATATAGTAGTGGTGGCTTAAGGCTGGGCAGGGAATAGGGATATTAGAAGGTGAATATATTACATCTTTGAATTGTACACTATAAATGGGTGAATTGTATGCTTTATGAAATATCTCCTATCCTACCTAATAAAAGAGTAATATGCAAATTAACCATCACAATGCTTTACTCGCCAGCCACACCCACCAGCCACGCCCACCAGCCAATCAGAGTGAGTATGCAAACTAGCCCCAACCAAAATAGCTGCAACCACAGAGAGCAGGAAAGAGGCTTGGGTTTCCTGGGCAATAGAGGAAACCAAGCTTCTGCAGCCCTGCGGGCCCTAGGCCTCCACTCCAGGCTACAAAGTTTCAATTATAGAAGGTAAACAAATCCAAACAGAAATGGCAGCAGCCACGGAGTGAGCAGGGGGCTTGGTTCCACTCCAGGCTACAAAGTTTCAGTTGTAGAAATTAAATAAATTCCAGATACCAGGGCCTCCGTTTGGGTAGCCAAGGGGAGTGGCTGGCCTGCAAACCACCACAGGCCCCTCGCCCAGGCTGCCCCATGCCGCAAGAGAACCCCCAACCTGACCCAGGACACCTTTCAGGGCAAACCAGCTGGCACCAGGCCTCTATCCTATCTAATAAAAGAGTAATATGCAGATTGACCATCACTCCAACACACAAGATTGCTGCCCCCATGTGGTAAAAGATCCTGCCCCTATGTGGACACAAGATGGCCACCACAAGATGGCCAGCAGGGGAGAGTAGTTGAGAGGGACCAGGCCTGCAAGGAAGGGCAGTCTAGAGGGACCAGGTCTGCAAGGGAGGTCAGTTGGGGGCAATCAACCCTGCAGGGGAAGGCAAGTAGGGGTGACCAGGTCGGCAGAGGAGGGAAGTTGGGGGAAAACAGACTGGCAGGCGAGCAGTTAGACATTAATAAGGCTGGCATGGGAGTGGTTAGGGGGTGATCAGGCTGGCAGGCAGAAGTGGTTAGGGGCAATCAGGAAGGCAGGCAGGTGAGCAGTTGGGAGCCAGCGATCCTGGATTGTGAGAGGGATGTCTGACAGCAGGCCTGGATTGTGAGAGGGATGTCAACGGGCAGTTGAACATCCTTTGAGGGGTCCCAGATTGGAGAGGGTGCAGGCTGGGCTGAGAGACACTCCCCTACCCTGTGCATGAATTTTGTGCACCGGTCCTCTAGTTTATATAATAAAAGCCTAGCAACCATTACGCTCAATGCAGGAGCTGCCCCCTAATGGTCAGTGCGCTCTCACAGGGGGAGCACCCCTCAGCCAGAAGCCTGCCTCCCTGCTGGTGAGTGCATTGGCAGTAGTGGGAGCCTCTCCCGCTTCTGTGGCAGCACAAAGGAGCAGCGAGCAAGCGGGCAATAAGGAGTGAGAAATCCAAGATTGCTAGAGGGATGTTGACTGTTGGGGCTCAGGGATCGGGCCTAAACCAGAAGGCAGACATCCCCCGAGGAGTCTCAGACTGCAAGAGGGCCCAGCCGGGCTGAGGGACACCCCCCACACCCTCAGTGCAGAAATTTTGTGCACTTGAGCCTTTAGAATGTTAATAAAGCTATTTTAAAAATATGAATAAGAACTGTCCCCATGAAGATTATTTACTATTTACTACTTTATAATTAAACTAGAGGCCCAGTACACCAATTCGTGCATGGGTGGGGTCCCTCGGCCTGGCCAGCAATCAGGGCCAATCGGGGATGGGGGAGGGTTGGCCTGCTGGGAAGAGGGCCCGTGGGCCCCAGCAGCAAGCTCACCACTGGCCAATTCCATGAGGAACTGGGCTACCTCCCCCCTCCTGTCTGGGTCCAGGGTCCTGGTAAACCGGGTTCAGGGCTATCAGGGCCCCAGCAGTTAGCTAACCAATGACTGATTCCATAAGGAATCAGGCTCCCTCCTCCCTCCTGACTAGGTCTGAGGTGCAAATGAACCAGATTTGGTCTGTCAGGTCCTTAGCAGCAATGTCTGTGTCAGTGTGCATCATAGCTACCAGCCAGTCATCTGGTCTTTCCAGTCATTCAGTCGTAATGGTCACTTAGGCTTTTATATTTACACTGAGTGGCCAGATTATTATGATCTCTGAATGCATAATATTCTGGCCACTCAGTGTATATCCTATATAATAAAAGGCTAATATGTAAATTCTCCCCTTGATCAGAAGTTCGACCAGCAGGCAGACTGGCTAACTGCTCATGTCCCCTCCCCCTAGCCAGGCTGGCCGGACCCTATCCATGCATGAATTCATGCACAGGACTCTTAAGAATTTATCTTATGATTTCAAGTTTGATAAGCATTGCCATTTTCATTTAAAACAATCACCAATACCAGTGCTGAGCAGACACAGGAGACATGTATCATAGTTCAAGATTATTCAGAATATAGTCATTCATCAAACTCTAAACAGAACTTTTCATACTTACCATCAAGAACTCACTAAGTAGTGTGGCTTAGCAGTTGAGCATCAACCTATGAACCAGGAGGTCACAGTTCAATTCCTGGTAAGGGCACATGCCTCGGTTATGGGATTGATCCTCAGTGTGGGGTGTGTAAGAGGCAGCCAATCAATGATTCTCTGTCATTATTGATGTTTATGTCACCCTGTCCCTTTCTCTCTGAGATCAATAAAAATATTTTTTTAAAAAGAACTCACTGAAAATATATCTACTGAAACTTAACTCTCCTATACTGCTAGAGAGAGTATAAAGTGTTATAATTACTTTGGACAACTAGTTGGCAGTCGAGATACCTATAATGGAATACTATTCAGCCTTACAAAGGAAGGAAATTTTGCCCCATGCTACAATATAGATGAACTCTTGAGAACATTATGCTACATGAAATAAGCCAGTCACAAAAAGATTAATATTACATTATTCCACTTACATGAGGTCCCTAGAGTACTTAAAATCACAGTAACAGAAAGTAGAATACTGGCTGCCAGGTGATAGATGGGAAGGGGGAATGAAGAAGTGCTGTTGAATGGATATAGAGTTTCAATTTTACAAGGTGAAAAAAATTCTAGAA